AAACACCATCAACATTTTGCCAATCTTGTTTCTTGTATTCTCTCCCACGCACTTTCTTTCTTTCCTGAAGATTTTTAAAGCAAATCTCAGCCATCATTTCTCTCCACCTGTAAATACTTCACAGTGCATCCCTGACAGATGAGGGCTTCTCTCCCTTGAACCTAATTACAATACCATTACCACCGAACAAAATGAGCATCGGCTTCCGAAGGTTATGAAACGCTCAGAGCATCTTTAGATTTCCTCGGTTGTCTCGACGGCGGCTTTTGACAGTTGGCTTGTTCAAATCAAGATCTAAACAGGCTTGTCCGCTGCACTTGGGTGGCATCTCCTGAGTCTCTAACAATATCCCGCTCCACGTCCACCCCCACCACCTGCTACAAGCTCCAGGAGATGGATGTCCCTTGGGATGGACCACATTCCAACTTCAATGTTATTTGTTTTTATTTAATTTTTGTGGATACGTATCTGTATGTGAACATTCAGAGGCATGTGTGCTGTGGGATGTTCTGTATGGCAAATGTGTTGCTCTGATTAGTCAATAAATAAAACACTGATTGGCCATTGGCTAGGCAGGAAGTGTAGGCGGGACATGGAGGAGAATAAAGCTGGGAAGTGGAAGGCTGAGAGGGAGACACTGCCAGCCGCCACGATGACAAACAGCATGTGAAGATGCCGGTAAGCCACGAGCCATGTGGCAAGGTATAGATTTATGGAAATGGATTAATTTAAGCTGTAAGAACAGTTAGCAAGAAGCCTGCCACAGCCATACAGTTTGTAACCAATATAAGTCTCTGTGTTTACTTGGTTGGGTCTGACGGCTGTGGGACTGGCAGGTGAGAGAGATTTGTCCTGACTGTGGGCCAGGCAGGAAAACGTTAGCTACACATGTGCAGTCTCAAGTGTGTTACTTGCCTGCATGTGTGTGCCTGTGTGTGTTCACGTGTGTGTGTGTGTGTGTGTGTGTGTGTGTGTGTGTGTGTGTGTGTGTATGTGTACATGTAGGTTGTCTTCAGATGTCTTTCTCAGTTACTCTCCATCTTATTATTGTTTAATATTTTATTTTTTATTGTTTTGATTTAAGGTCTCTCTATGAAACCTTGGTTGTTCTGAAACTTGCTATGTAGACTAGGCTGGCCTCCAACTCGCCTAACCCTGCCTCCTGAGTGCTAGAATTAATGGTGAGCACTACTACACCCATTTTATTTTTAAACTATATGTGTATGTGTGTGGGAGTGTGCACATGAGTGCAGGAGCTGTGAGGACAAAGAGAGAGCATCAGGTCCTCTGAACTTGGAATTACAGGCAGTTTTAACATCCCTGATGTGAGGGCTGGGAATGGAACTCAGGCTCTCTACAAGAGCAAAAAGTGAGCCAGGCAGTGGTGGCACACACCTTTAATCCCAGCAGTTGGGAGGCAGAGGCAGGCAGATCTCTGAATTCAAGGCCAGCCTGGTCTACAGAGTGAATTCCAAGACAGCCAGGGCTACATAGATAAACATTGTCTCAAAAAACAAAATCACAAACCAAAAAAGAACAGAAAATTATCTTATCCACTGAGCCGTCATTCCAATCCTTCACCACCTTTTTTTTTTTTTTTTTTTTTGGACAGGGTCTCTCATAGTATCTAGAACTTGCTTATTCAGCTGGACTGGCTGACTAGGGAGCTACAGGGATCCACCTGCCTCTGCTTCCCCAATGTTAGGATTACAGGTAACCATGCCCAACTCTTACATGGATGCTGTGAGTATTGTACTAACAGAGCCAGCTCCTCAGCCCCTCCCAGTGTTATTCAATATTGTCTCCAACAGGTATTTCCAAAAGTGTAAAGTGGATCACTTCATTTCTCTGCTTAAAATCTTTCAGCGCCTTCCCACTGCCCTTAAAATCCATACGCTCTCCCTGGGCCCTGTGTGGTCTGTCACCTGATTCCCCTCTCTTATATTTTTGGTTGTGAGCCTAACCTTTAATGGCTGAACCATCTCTCCATCCCCACTTCCCTTTCAAATCTCTCTCTCTCTCTCTCTCTCTCTCTCTCTCTCTCTCTCTCTCTCTCTCCACACACACACACACACACACATATACACACACTTTCCGTCCTCTTACCCCTGTCCCCTTATCATCCTGACAGACATGAAGATATTCTACTGAAACAAAGTACCCCCAAGTAATTGGAATTTGCCCCAGTTGTCTCCTGATGGAAGAAAATAAAGGATGAAGCCTGGTGCCAGCCAGAGAGGGAGCCTGTCTCCCATTTAAAAAAAAATTACAACCTGTCAGACCACCTTGCAGGAGATGCTAGAGCTGAGACAATGATGCATCAGTGATGGGCAGGATTCTAAACTCATGCCAGGACCCCAGAGATAGACTTAGGGGAATCATTGGATCTCTTTGTCCTTTTCCCCCCTAATACAAGCATATTGAATATGTTTCTTTTTCTGTCCTTTACTGTTACTTGTTTGGGATGTGTGAGGGGCTGGAAAGATGGTTCTGTGGTTAAGGATGTGTGCTGTGTAATCGTGAGGACCAGGATTCAGAACCTAGCTCTTACACAATAAGCAGGCATCCCACAAATGCCTACGACTCCAGCTTGGAAAGGGGCAGACACAGGATCTCTGGGGTTTGCTGGTGTCCAGCTTAACTGAGAAAAGTTGAGCCTAAATTCAGGTAGAGACTTTGCCTCAAAGGACTAGGCAAAGTGATAGAGGAGGACACCTGACTCCCTCTTCTGGCCTCTGCACACAATCACGCGTATCCACAAACATACAGTCATACACATACACACAAATAAGTGAATACACACTTTTTAAAAAGGATAGATGGACTAGCCTGGTTTATAGGGCTGTTAGGACCAGGCTTTAACTGTGAGTTATGGTAACAATCCCACAGCCTCCTTTTTGTGAGTTGAAACATCCAGTACTTTCTACCCCAAGGTCCCTGTGAACAGACAAGACTCCCCTGCCAAGGACTCTCCATTCCCACTCTGCCTGGCTACCGGGTGGCTCAGCCCCATGCAGAGGTCTTATATTGGTGTCCCCTCCCTAGAGACGGCCACTGGGCCAGGCTAACTGATGAGATCTCCTCTCCTGATGCACAGTCTTTCCAGTATCCAAAGGGTGTCTCAAAATGAGTGGTTATTTTCCCTGCTTGTTTCCCTGGAGCTAAGTTCTTCTCTCCCGCTCTTCCCACCTCACCCCTACCCCCACCCAGAGAAAAAGACTGTCTATCTGTCTGTCTGGTGATTCTGAAGCCTGAAACAGTCAAGTTTTTCTTGACTAATAGTACAGCCTAGGAGGTAGGGAAACAGAACACAAGATCTTTCCATCTGTCAATTAATCAATATCGGTTAATCACCGACCAATGACCTCCACACTTCAGCGCCTGGAGCGGGATGTCTTGGCTGTTAAATCTGTAGTTAAAGGATTAATTGATGCACAATCTCTCTGTGATCCAGAGCCCAGCTGGGGACCTGAGGTCGGGAAAGACTGACAGGCGTCAAGCTCCCCTGGAACCTCCTAGAGACGGGTTCTGATGAGCTGAGCCTTGGCTAACGAACATCCCTCATGGTTCCCCAGGGCCCTAGGGCTCCAGGGCCCTGGACCTCTGTAGGAGGTAAGGAAGCTGCCACTCTGCGTTTGCCCAGATCCTACAGTTGTGGACCTACAGCCCCAAGATGGGAGTCCTCCCCTTCCTGCTGAGGAAGCAAACAGGAAGGAGGAAGGTGGAGGGAAGCCTGGGCACCACTTGAGCAAAGCCAGGAGCTGAGGAAGCATCGTCCTGGGAGTGAAGGAGCTGAGATTCTCAGCCCCGGTGGGAGAGTCTCCTTTGGATCTGCTGTCTTAGATGTGGCCCCGTGGGGTCCAGCACGGGCCCAAAGCCAAGAGAAAGACAAAGCTCCCTGCCCCAGGCCCCTCCTGCAGCTCCAGGTGCTCTCCCTTTGGTGTGAGCCTCTGGAAGCTTCACACACTGTTTCTCAGGCATCCCTACTTTATGGCTTTCGTTATTTTTAATTTAGACAAAAGACTTTGCTTAGCCCTTTATGGTCTCATCCAAATGGGCTTTTATCTTTTCACTAGAACTGTCTGTTTTTACTGTTTTGATCTCTCTACTGTTTTATTAAGTAATCCTTTAGCTGTGAAGAAAATTTGGGGTTTATTCTTATTTATTTTATCGTTTGGGTTTTGTGGTTTTTTTTTTTTTTTTTTTTTTTTTTTTTGCTTTGAAATGCAGAGACAGCAAGCAGTATTACAGAGAGGGAGGCCAGCAGGGTCTCCTAGACTGCTGAGGCTTGTCCTCGAGGCTTGGAAAACAAGGACAATAAGCATGGGCCGCAGACAGTCCTCCATGACTGATACTCACTCCCATTAAAAATTACTCATTTCGACCATATGGAGACTCAGAGCAAATGGCTGCCACAGAGAAGATAAGATTAGCCCTAACAGCCCAGAGGACTTACCAGAACAGGGACTTTTAACTTATTTGTGGGTGGATAAGTGACATCTTGGTGAAACTGCTTTGACACGTGGATACCTGATATGGCCTCTGTGTTCTAAAAGCAGCCATTATGCCCTCTGCTGGCTCTCTCTGCCCAGTCACGTGAGAAGCTTTTCACCCCACCCCGAGTCAGAAGCAGGAGCCCACAGTAAGAAACATTCTAGATGACAAGCCACCAGCCTATGACATTTTGACATAGCCCTGTCTGACGCGGCCTGTTGTCAAACTGGAGGATGGCTTTCCTGTAGCTTGGAGTTTGGCTCTTTAGACACACGGGCAATCTTTAAAAGCATAGTGTCCCCTGTGTTTTTGAAATTTATGTAAATGGTTTCATGCTATCTGTTCCACTCTGTCTCTGACATTTTCTGCCTCTGGGTTGCTTGAGAGAGCTTCCCTACTGCTAGAGGAAGATGTAGTAATTGCTCACTGCTTTTGTCTGCGCCTGGTATTTCCTCACCCACAAGAGCTGTGTTTTGTTTGTTTTGTTACAGGGTTTGTTTTTACTTAAAAATATGGAACGCATCACAGATTTGTGTCAGCCTTGCACAGGGACCACACTAATCTTCTCTGTATCATTCCAGTGTGTGCTACACAGGCTACAGAAGCCAGCACTTGTTTTATATGTTTAGGGCAAGGTCTCATGTAGCTCCTGTTACTCTCAAATTCCATATATGGCTGATGATGACCTTGAACTTCTAACTGTCCCGCCTCCACCTCCTAAGTGTTGGGATCACACTCACATGTCACCACTCCAAGGGCTGGTATCAAACCCAGGGCTTGGCGCATGCTAGGCAAGTGCTCTACCACATGAGCCACACAGCCGCCATGTTCTACCCTCCCATTCCTGAAGGAGGACACAGGCTGGCTCAGGTGCGCTTGATAGGACTCCAATTTTCTAATTTCGAATCCAAGGGGTTAAAAACTCTACCTTCTTGTTTTAATTGTATCAAAGAAACTGAGGAAGTCTTTGTATGATTGTTATTTATTCAAATGTCGGCTTCTGTGGGATGGCCTTTTAAATCTTTCTTCCCCCGCTGGATTTTTGTGAATTTTTGACTTGCAGGTTTTCAAAATAAATGCTGGATATTAATCTTTGTCAGTCTTAAAGTTTGAAAAAACATCTACCCCTACTCTATCAACCCTTGTTAACTGTGTGTACAGTGAGTTTTTTGTTTGTTTATTCGTTTTTGAGACAGGGCCTCACTATGTAGCTCTGGCTGTCCTGGAACTCACTCTGTAGACTAGGCTGGCCTTGAACTCACAGAGATCCACCCGCCTCTGCTTCCTGATTGAAGGCGTATGCCACCATGCCACGATAGTGGTTTTTGTTTTGTTTGTTTAATCTCCTTTAATGGCAGTCTGTAATGTTGAAGTGATCAAATCCATTTATTTTTGTGCCTTGAATTTCATGGGGTTTTTTTGGTTTTTGGTTTTTGTTTTGTTTGTTTTGGTTTTCGAGACGGTTTCTCTGTGTAGTTTTGTGCCTTTCCTGGATCTCGCTCTGTAGACCGGGCTGGCCTCGAACTCACAAAGATCCGCCTGCCTCTGCCTCCCGAGTGCTGGGATTAAAGGCGTGGCCACCACCGCCTGGTGAATTTCATGTATTTTTTAAAAAAATCTTTTCAAAGAAACACTTACTCTGAGGTCCAGAGTGAAACGAATAATAAACGGCGCTGGTTACCACTCGGAAAGGTCACGGTCACAACAGAACAGAACCCAGTGTCAGTTTTAGAGCTTTATTAGGAGGAAGAGGGGTGGAGGGGGTACAAGAGAACCAGGCCTCGGAAAGGAGCACGTGCAGAGATGGGGAAAGATGGGGAGGGGGGCAGAACAGAGAGAGAGGGTAGGTAGAGTCTGCATCCGACTTTTTAAGGGTTCCCAGGGAACATGCATAGGCAGGCTTACAGAGCTACACTACGCATGCGCTGATTGAGTGACCACGTGGCGCACACGCACATAGTCACCAGCGCACACCAGCGCACAGTGATGACATAAGACACAAGACCCTTTGCTTAACTCCTGAACTGCGCATGTGCAGTCATGCAGCTGGAGTGAGGGCAGAATTCTAACACAGAGTCCTTTTCAGTTCTTTTTCCTATATTTGTATTTATAATTTTTCTCTTCACATTTAAGTCTTTATCCATTTGGATTTTTTTTTTTTTTAAATATAGAGTATGAACCCAGCTTAACTTATTTCCAAAGAAGTGGGCCATTTTCTTTGAGACTCTTCACTAAGCAGCCCTCCCTTCTGCCTGCTTGGAATGCTCGTCTGCTGAGTTCTTTCACCGCCTTGTTTACTTAGCCTTAGTTCTGTTTGTTAGATGAGTTTATTTACGTATGTCTACATCTGTTTCCGGTCTCCCGCCCTGTTCCCTCAGCTTGCCTATCCAGTCCTTTGACAATAATACTCTGCTTTTATTATTTTGACTTTGTAATCATCTTGAAGATCCACAGCCCAAGTGTTGTTCCTTTGTTCTTTTGAAATTGGATTAGCTATTTGTGGCTCTCCATTCTCCCATGTAGATTTTATAATCAATTTAATTCCCTAAAATTCCTGCTGGAATTTAATTGAATGTAGAAATTAATTTCGGGTTAATAGATATCTTTCCAAGATGAAATCATCTCAAACATAGATACAGTGTTTCTTTTTATTTGGGGCCTTCAGTCAACGGCCTTTTGTGGCTTTTGTTTTCCTCTGTGGTCTTGGGCCCTCTTTCTTAGTTAATCCCTTGGACCTTGGGGTTTTCATTGTTAGTAGAGAGAAGTCGGCTCGCTGTTTTTGGGAACCTTGTTGGGGGGTCTAGAGTAAGTGGATGTAATTATAAAATTGAAAGGCAGAATGTTTTCACCACAATCACTAAGATCACTCTCTTTCCATGCCAAGTTCCTCTCCTTCACACCGGCCTGAATATCAGCCAGCACTGAATATCAACCAGCCACAGGTACTGGGCTCCAGGAAAGGGGACTTGGAGCTGGAGACCTGTCTAGCTGGGGTCATTGGTAGTGAGTGCGTGGCTTAACTGTGAATGGTTAAGGTCACTCACTGCCTAGTGTCTAGTTGTCTGAATACCCTCTGGGAACTCCAGGACTTCTCGTGTGCTTCCTAATTGGAGATGGAGACACAAGAACACAGACAGAGGTGAATCAAGAGTTAATTAGTAAGGGGCTGAGGAGACAGCTCAGCAGTTAAGAGCACTTTTCCTCGAAGAGAACCTGGTTTAGATTCCCTGCACCCTCAGGGTGGCTGACAACCATCTACAACTCCAGTCCTGGGGGACCTGGACACACATGCAGGCAAAGCACCCATACATATAAAATAAATAACTTTTTTTTAAAAAGGGAGGGCTAATTAGTAAGAAAAAAACACTTTTTTTATTTTGCTTATTTGTATTTATGTGCATATATGTGTGCCTGTCAGCCTTTATGTGCACAATTTGCATGCAGGGCCTGTAGAGGCCAGAAGAGGGCATCAGAACCCCTGCAACTGGAGTCAGGCAGTTAGAAGGTCCTCTGTAAGAGCAAATGCTCCTAACAGATGAGCCGCACCTCCTGCCCCCAACACTTTTCATGTTCATTAGACTTTGCAGTTAAAAAATACATAGTTATTTTGAGTTCTCACTCTAAAGTACGTTCTTTATAATTTTTAAATATTATTTATTTTTATGAGTATGAGTATTTTGTGTGCATGTATATTGGTGTACCATGTGAGTGCCTGGTGCTCTTGGAGGCCAGAAGAGAGCACCAGATCCCCTGGAACTGGAGTTATAGCAGCTGTGAGCTGCCGTTTGGATGTTGGGGATTGAACCCGAGTTCTCTGGGAAAGTGGTCAGTGCTCTTAACTGCTGAGCCTTCTTTTCAGTCTCTAATTTATGCATTTTTTTACATTTATTTATTTGAGTCAGGGAGTGTGTGTGTGTGTGTGTGTGTGTGTGTGTAGGTCAGAGGACAACTTGCAGGAATTGGTTCTTTTTTCCACCATGTGAATCCCAGGGATGAAAAATACATATATCTGTAATTTTCTTTTCAATTTCTTACTTTCTTTTTTGCTTGTTTGTTTAGTTTTTTGAGACAGAGTCTCACTTTGAAGTCTTGTCTGGCCTAAAACTTGATACTTAGCCAGGCTGGCCAAGAACTCATTGAGATTTGCCGCCTCTGCCTCCCAAGTGCTGGGATTAAAAGTTACCACAGCCCACTACGTCATTGTCCATCCCCCCTCCCCAACCCCAAAGCAGGGTTTCACTATGTAGCCCTGGCTGTCTTGGAACTTGCTCTGTAGACCAGGCTGGCCTCAAACGCACAGAGATCTATCTGTCTGCCTCTGCCTCCCAAGTGCTGGGATTAAAGGCATGTGCCACCACCACCACCACCACCACCACCACCTGTTTATTTTATTGTTCTTAAAGAGAAATTCCCCTACCACATGAGTAACCACCCCTCAAAACCTGGATTTTTTTTAAGCTCATTTATTGGTGTTGAACTCTCTCAGGTTTTGTCTTGTTTTGTTTTTGTTTTTGCATTCATTTAAAAGACTATTTTTTTTTTAAATTGGGTTTGTCAAAACATAGCCTATAGACTAAATCAAGTTTGTTTTTTAAGTTGTTTCACTGGATAGAGCCTCACGCATTCATTTACATATTGAATGTTTCTGTTTTCACATCAGGACAGACACTGAAGCCCACAGAGCTGAAAAGATTTCCTACCTGCCACTTACTTGACAAGAAAAAGCTTGCCAATATCTACCTTTTGTTTATTTTGTTGTTTTTTTGAGACAAGGTCTCCTGTACACCAGACTGGCCTGGAACTCCGTCTGTAGAGGAGGAAGATGTCAAACCCTGATCTTCTTGCCTCTACCTCCCAAGTGCTAGGATCACAAGCATGGGACACCATTCTTGGCCTGCCAGTTCTACTTTAAAGAGATTGATTCATCAATATGCCTTTTGATAGAGAAGTCTCACGTGACTGTCGTGAACCTGTCTCGTTTAGAACATTTTTTTTTCATCCTTGTACGATTATCTACACTAAGTACATACATCTTAGGTACACAGCTTAATGAAGTTTTACATCTGTACACACTAAGCATCATTCTGACCAAGGATATGAGTTTCCAGCACTACAGTGGGCCCTCCCAATCCTCCCAATCCCCACCAGTGAGTATCACCGATCTCCCCACTCCCAAGGCAGCAATTCTGAGTTCTTGGCTCCTGCCACCCAGGCCTCAGAAACAGAATCATACAGTACCTAGTATTATGAGTCTGACTTTTTGGACAATGTAGGTCCAATTATACTATGCACAGCCGTAGTCAAATTTTTAATGTTACTCAGCATTATATTACTTGGAAACCTATGTATTGTTCTTAGTATAGTATTAAATTCAATTGACATCCTGAAGTGGTTTATGCTTGTATTTGTAAATAAAAGTAGCCTAAAATGTTCCTTTCGTATTATTGTATTCTCCTCCTCCTCTTCCTTCAGAACATTTGCTGTAACATTTAAACCACGTTATATCAAGTTCATGAAATGGCTTGGATAGCTTCCCCTTTTTCTATTTTCAGAACAATTGATGTTAGATACCAATTAGGTTGGGCATCGAACCCAGGCCTTGACAAACA